TATAATGAGCTGGACGGGCCCCGCCTTCCGGGTCTACATCGTGATGTGGGTCCCGGTCGCGGTGATCCCGTATTAGGAGAAGACTGGGCTTTCAGCCCATTTATCAGTCACAGGCAATCGGAATGGGGCCAGCCCATGATGACCCCAAATTAAACCGGCCAGCCATCCGAATTTCCCCATAATTACCACTAGTACAACACATAGGGGGGATTTTTTTTTAATATTTTAATTATTTTTTAAAAAATTATATTATTAGAAATGTATGAGAGAGGTCTTCATTTAAATTTTATAATACTTTTAACAATATGCATTATTAGGCCATCTTCAACCGAAAAACTCATTTTGCAGTAACTGTCACATCAAACAATAATTCTTACCCAACCGAAAAACTCATTTTTAAATCAAAAAGAATATCCTCAAAATATTCTCTTTTACATCAACTTTTACAAATTTTTAATACTACCCACATATTTTACAACATTTCAAATTAAACAACACTGTAATTTAAATTCAATTTGAAATTTATGTAATAAAATTGATTATAAAGGATAAATTATCAAAGAATATTTATTAAATCAGTAAAAACTATAAATATTTTACAAACTTTTCAAATTAGACCATACCATTATATTAAACTTGACTGAAAAATATATTATAGGAAAATCACATTGTTTATATTATTACCAATATTTTATTAAAATATTGATAAATTATTTTAAAATTTGTATGGATATATGAAAATATTTACAAATATTTTTATAATCTTTGGATTAATTTTTTGGAGATATATACACCATAAAAATCTTATAAACAAATTGTTTCCTAATTAAAACAATAAAATATGTTAAATGATATTTAAAACTATCATATAAATATAAATTATATTATTAAATATACTAGCTCTAAATAAAACCGATAAAGCAAAAGACCAAAATGCAATTTGAAAAAGATTTTGCGTTGATGAACAGGGAAACACAAAATTGCATTTGAAGAGAGAGAAATTGAGGACATAATGCATTTTGAGTTGGGTTATGTAGTTCGGTTGGAGGATTTTTTTAAGTTTGCGATTGGTTTTGGTGTACGGTTGGAGAAGGTCTTAAGCCGAGAATTATCACTCATATTATTTGCTATTCTTATATATAATAATTTTTTAATTCATACAATTTCCTATTTTTATATCATAATAATTTTTTTAATTCATATTTAATGAATTTATAGATAACGTTTTCAGTTATATGTAATTTTATTAATTTTTAATTAGTATTAAGAATTAATATATTATATGTTTTATAATACTAAAAAATAAAATAATTATATATGAAATATAGATATCAAACCAATTTGATATATTATATATGAAAAATTATACTAAATATAATATTTAGTAATTTTGATATACATTTAAATTTTAAGCTAGTCAAATATTTTGAAGTTTAAATGTCCTAATCGGTATGGAAGTAGGTATAGATAGAATCCAAATCTACATTACGAAGAATCAGAATAGGATGAAGAACATCAAAGTTCGTCACGCAGAATCGAGACATTTTTCATTAATATAATACTAGTACAACACCGTGTATTACACGGGTGTTTGTTAAAAAATTATTCTTAAATTTTAAAATTAATGAGAAAACTATATTAAATTTAGTTTATTTTTTTTTAATAATATATATTGCTATATATTTTAGAATGATATGTGTTACTTATGACTTACATGTGTTATATTATATTTATTTTTCTATAACTTATATCATATAACTACTTGAAATATAAATATATTATTTGATAAATAATATTATTTTTCTAATTAATATTAAAAATAATTTTATTATTGTTATAAAGGTAAATATAAATTATTTTTTTATACATACAATATGGATGTTAAATCGAAGCTCATCAAAAGAAGATTAATTTGATATATTACATATGTAAAACTGATAAAAAATACAAAAGTTATTAACTTTTAAAATATATATACAATTCAATAGTTATAATAAGGAATGATATTAATATGCAATTAATACATGTAACATGATTCCAAACCTAATTATTTTTTGTTTGGAATTAAATTAAAATTTACTCAAGAAGCATGTAATTTTGCCACATAGGATTCCGAAGCACCAGAAGCAACCACGTAGGCTCAGCGCGTTCTGGATTAATATAGGGGATAGGAAGGGATAATAATTTTACAGAGAATACCAATATAACTTGTTCTAACGCATGGAAAAAAAAAATACATATGTTTAACATAACAAAATTTCCCACTATTAGTAAAAATTCCAATTTGGTCTAAAACTTATTCACGATTAGGCCATCTCCAGCCCTTATTTCTACTCTAGCGCCGACTTTACTCTATTCTAGAGTAGAGTTGAACATTTATCTCCAGCCCTTATCTCTACATTTTACTCTACATTAAATATATTATTCTTTTATTCATTTTGTATTTCAAATAAATTGGTATATATGTATATTTAATCTTATATAAAATGTGTGTTGTAACCTTTAATTTTAATGAAATAAACTTGTTTGAGTGTGTTAAATTTTTATTCATATGGTATCATTTTAATATTAAAAATTTATAAAATAAATTATAATACATTAATAAATAAAAAGTACAAAATTATTTAGCGTAAAAAATACATTGTACAAATTATTTAGCATAATAAATACATTTACTAATATACATTATACAAAAAATACCAATAATAATACATAAAAAAATAAACAAAAAGCAAAAAAAAAAAAATGTAAAGATGAGCTACAGTGCATCGCCAGATCTGGAGATGCACTGTTCACATCTGTGGAATAGCGCAACATCTAGCGCAAGGGCTGGAGCGGAAAAATCAACACAACTCCAGCGCATAGCGCAGGGTTGGAGTTGATCTTAATCTTTAAAACATATTTGATATTACTATTCATCCCCCTCACTTATTTATTAATAATATCAATAATTATTTGATCAATTCTTACATTATATCAATTTAATTATTACATGTCTATCTTAAAATCAACTTTTCAAACTCCCTCAAACATTTTTATGAATAATATTTGGTATTTTTTTATTTTTTTGTTATTTTTTTTACCAAATAGGATGACTCCACCAATCAGATTGGTTTTTTTTTATCTCATCCAAAAAACAATGAGTAGTAAAGTAAATTAGAAGCCCAAACCCACACGCCAAAGCAGAAAATTGTTTCATTTTTACTAAATTTGTTTATAAGGGGTCAACTTCATATTATTTAATTTTTACTACATTTTAGAAGGGGTGAACTTCTTTTATAGTACTCTTTTTACACAAGCAAGGAAAATTGCATATAGGCCATTGTTCTATATATATATATATTGTATCACTGTGTATTAATTTTCACACAACTCAAAACTTTATTAAAGTTCCACTAATTTCATTTCATTTTTCCTACACTTTTAAGATGGCCAAGGTGAGATTAATTTGCCTTCAATTTATTTATTTTCTTTCCAAATTTTAATATTATTGAAGTTTTATATGATAGTTGTTTACAATTTGATGCATAATTTACTTTCCTCACCTAATTAATTTATTAATTACTATTGTAATTTTTTTTTTTCTCTTTTCTAATAATTTGTTTATAATTTAATTATTGTTGTTCTTGTGAATTTCGTCGTGCTCGCCGCAGAAAGTGGTGTTGAACGTAGAAGTTCATAACGGAAAGGAGAGGCGAAAAGCAATTGAAGCAGTTTCTAGCCTTTTAGGTGCACAAAGTTTTATTTTATTATTATTATTATTTGTGTTTGTCTCTCTAAATTTTAATGTGTTTAATTAATTAATTAATTATCCTAATAATCCTATAATTAACTCACAGGGATCGAGTCTCTTGTTATGGACATGGAGGAGAAAAAATTAACAGTGATTGGGAATGTTAATCCAGTTGACATAATGGCCAAATTGAAGAAATTTAAGAACACAGAGCTGCTGAGTGTGGGCCCAGCAAAGGAGCCCAAAAAGAAGAGTGTTCATGAGAAGAAAAAACATGTGAATGGGCCCAAAGAATGTGAGCCCATTACGCTTCAAAAGTACTATCCTTGCTGCACACATCACTACTACCATGTCCACAGCTTCGAGGAGAACCCAAATTCCTGTGTTATTTGCTAATATTATGTAATTATCATTATCTAATTCCTGTGTTATTTGCTAATATTATGTAATTATCATTATCTTTGTTATCATTATTATTACTATTATTATTATTATTATTATTATTATTATTAGAAGACATCATGTTATCAAAAACTGTATATGAGTCCATATATATCTAAATGATTTTATGTACTTTATTTAGTGTTTTTACCTGCCCCATCCTAATTCTAAATGGAAATTGATGGAGTCATATTGGAGATGAAAACAGAAAAAATAAATGAAAATAATCTATATGTTCTTAATTAGGCTATATATATATATATATGTGTGTGTGTGTGTGTGTGTGTGTGTGTGCTCTATTAGTATTCAAGTCAGGTTTTCTGTAAACATCATGATATTTTTGGAATTTTTCAAAAATAGGTTAGTAAACCATAAATTGTGGGAACTATATATGAATTCATGGAGAAATACTATGGTCCTGTTACGGAACCATTCCGTCGGGATTTTTGTAACCGTTAGATCATTATGTAATCATCGGGGATAGTTGATTTAACGGTTACAATTCCGACGAAATAATTCCGTAACGGGACCGTAGTAATAATATTCTTATTGAGGAAACTTTTGAACCTACAAATCTGCATTCAGTAATATATAATTTTGCTATTTCCCAAAAAATGTGTCACACAAGTGTTTTTGACATGAAATCTTAACCAAGGCACTAAATGTAGACAAAAAAAAAAAAA